TCACCCTTAAATTCCTTTGTAATTTTTTCAAGGATGATTTGGTCATAAAACCAATTAAATAACCTCGTATAATTCTCAAAAAATATTATCCTTATTTTTTCTTAATTTTATGAGGGTTGAAAATATTTTCATAATTATTTTTGACCATTTTTCTTAATCAGTCAAACTTCCATAATTGACTTGGAAAATCATAATAATATTTTCCACAAAAATTCTCCTATTTCTCCTTATCATTTTTGGCCCTTAATTGTTTAGGAATATCCTTATTCCTAATTACCATATTACTGGATGTGACAAGAAAGGTCAATGAAAGCTCAAAAACTGACACCTAAATTCATTGGACCCTTCCAGATTCTTTTAAGAGTTGGCCTAGTATCATACAAGTTGGCATTACCTCCCAACCTTAGCCAAATTCGCAATGTCTTCCATGTCTCTCAATTGAAAAACTATAAACATGATCCCTCTCATATCTTGGAATATGAAGATATAGAGCTACAAGATAACCTTACTTTTAAGGTAAAACCAATACAGATCGTGGATTGACGAACCAAGCAGCCACAAAATAAAACCATTCCCATGGTTAAGGTGATCTGGATGTTAGAAACAATCTCACCTAAGAGGGGGGTGAATTGGGTGAGTTACAAAAATTTCCAATCAAAGCGTGTCAGTATTGAATAAAAACAAAGAGTCAGAGTATGAAGAATTTTAACCGCAGAGAGGAGACGCAAGATTTATACTGGTTCGGTCTAAACCAGGTGACCTACTTCCAGTCCCCAGAACACCTCTGAGTATTTCACTATCTTCCAAGATCGACAGGGCTCTTGGTGCCTCGGTACAGTAATTGAATTGCTCAATCACTCCCCCTTACTCCCGTAAGGATACAACCCCTCTCAAGAGTCCACACTCTTGAGTGTCACTCAAGTCTTTAATAAGAGTAGTAATTGGCTCTCTTACAGAGTGAATTTAATGATAAACACTGATGCTCGGTAGTAACGTGAAAACAGAGTATTGAATGCGTAACTAAATAATCGCAGGTGGTAGTTCCGATATTCAATCTCTTCATTAATGCTTCTTCGCGCCTTTTATAGTTGATATCGTTAAGTAGCCGTTAGACGGAAGAGCTTCTAGCCGTTATGACTTCGTTTGCGTGTTTCGCTGGTTTCAACGGCTCCGCCATTAATGCGTCTGAGCTTCTGACACTGTAGGTCGCAGTCTACGTAATCCCGTTGAAGAGCCGTTGCCCTCGTTTTCATTAATCTGCATATTTTGAGCAAATGAGAGTTTTGTGGTGAATGCTTTAATCTCGAACACAGAGAGAAAACCAATTTATCATTCAAAGATTTGTGACGAAATCATTTATCAGTAAGAAGAACAGAAAGTCATTCTGGTTTAGTTTGATCGAAAAGATGATCGATTACTTGATGATAGATCAAGTTATCGATAAACAGAATGAAGACTTTTCGAATTAGATCACCAATATTATCGATCAAGTGTTGGATCATTGACTCTAAGAATTATCATAGAAAGAGGAAATCGTTCCATGATCGAACAAGTGATCGAACATATGTTTGATCGAACAGATTATCGAAAATTTAAATGTTACTGAAATGAAGCTTCAGTCATTGATGATCGAACATCTTATCGATAAATGTATGATGGATAATGTTATCGATAAACCATGGGTATGTATTATTCAATGAAAGACACAGCTATCTGAAATGATCGAACAGTTGATCGATCAATGAACATTCGAACAAGTGATCGATAAAGTGAAGAAAGAAATTTATCCTTGTAAGACAGAGAAAATGATTATCGATCACGTTTTGTGAAAACATGAGTTCCAGGGAATTGAATGATCGATCATATATCGAAAAAACCAGTGATCGATTTGGTGATCGAAAAATAGTTCACCATAACTTAATGTGAAAATAGCAATCCTTAGACTCTTTATCGATCATGTTATGTGAAAACTTATTTAAGCAAACAAGTTAAATTTATCGATAACATTATCGATAATTTGGTTGTAGGAAAAACTGAATAAGAGTAGATAAGGACATTGATTATCGATCATGTGATCGATAATTTTATGATCAATAAGTTTATCGATCCATCTGTAAAGATGATTACCTGCATTCAGAGAGTTAGAGCATAAAGTTCGAACACGTAATCGATAAACAAATGATCGAGAATATGATCGATAAATTGGTAACAGAATTAATGTGCAGAACAAGTAGATTATGTTACCTTTTATCGAAGTCGTTATTGATGACTGATTTATCGATCACTTGATCGATAATACACTTCAGATTTGGTTCTCTTATCAGTAACTCGATTGTTTACCTGATATTATCGATCAGTTTATCGATAATTAACCATACTCTTATGTGATTTTTACGATAGCGATAATCGATCACTTTATCGATTAATTGCTCATCGAATAGTTCTTCGATCCGAATACCTACTATAAACCTTATTTACATTTGAGCAATTATCTGAAACCTTAGCGATAAACAATTGATCGATCAGTTGATCGATCAAATACTTAACCTTGATTTCTTTGTTATCATCAAAACTATAATCCTAACACTGGAGAGGCCCAACTCAAAAAGAGGCTACCTGGGAAAAGGAAGACGACATGAAGGTTAACCACCTAGAACTATTTATATAAGGTACGTTTTAAATTTCAAGGACGAAATTTATTTAAAGGGAGAGGAAATGTCACATCTTGAAAAATTCATCCTAGTATTGTGAGTTAAAAATCTTGTTGTGGCCCAATATAGAAAGTAGATTGAAGGATAAAATAACTTTTGATGTGAAACTCGATAGGGTCTGGATTGATATTTTTAGAATTATCGGTCTAGAAAGAGCAAAATGAAAAAATTTGAAAAAAATTTCAGAAAATTTTCAAAAAATGGTTAAAAAGATAAACTAAAGGTTTTGAAACCTCGATAAAGGCGTTAAAGATGAAAATGTGGTGTAAAATAGATTATTACCGAATTTCTGAAAACTGACGTTTTTTAGAAAAATAGTAGAAATTAGGTAAAAATAATTATTATAATCATTTAGAGGCCTCAACAATTCAAAAATATGAAATAATTATCTAAAATTTATGAAAATTCATCCGATGGCAAGGGTAAGAAAATGATTTTGGGATAGAGGAGCATTATGGAAGTAATGCCATTATGTTATGTTGTGTAATGTATTAATGAGCTTTATGTTAAAAATGTAATGGATTGTGAATGATATGTCATGTAAATTATATTTGTATGACATGCCCTCATGCTAAAATATAAATGATGCAATGTTAAAGGAGTGTAGGAAAGAGGAGAATGGGAGAAAAATTAAAGAAAGTGACATTGGGGGATAGAAATTCCCTAAAAAGTGCGAAATTTATGGCCCATAAAATAATGAGCAATTGTTAGATTTTGGGCATGAAATTACAACCGAATAGATCTTATTTTAGCTTTACAAAAAGTGGTAATTCATTAAGTTTGGAGTTTGTGCTAAGAGTTATGCCATTCTAAAGTTGGGAAAAATATTGGAAATTAGAAAATTTACAAATGAATAGTACATATTGACGAATTTCCTTAAATTGTTCTGGATAGAATTAGACCTAATAATTATTTTTTCCTCTATAGAACTCTTAGCAAGCTTCACGTGAAAATTAGAACCACATCGTTTCAATTTTTCTAGATTTAGCTATGAATTTTCAAAGTTGGCCTATTTTCGGATGAACAGTGTACGGACAGGATAAACAGTAAAATCCTGAATTTAAAAATTTTTCATCGGGAAAATGTTATGAAACGACTTATATTGGTTCCAATTAATGTATATTGGATATAGAGAGAAGTGTGACACTTTTTGGTATTAGAGCAAGGGTTCTGGCTCTGTTTTTTTGTGCACTGTGTTACTGTTATGGATTGTGCATAATGATTGATATTGTGAATAGTGTTTGATAGCCGCACTGTTTTTGATTATTACTGTTGAGCATGAATTGTGGTTATTGATTGAATGATTCTAGATGAGATTATATTTGGGGTGGATTGGTATATTATAGATTGAGTTGAGTACAGGAAGAGTTATGGCCTGCTGTAGTGATGACTCGGGAGAAACAGTAAACCAGAGGATGTCGGGGGAACTGTACCCAGACTGGTACAATCCACATGTTTCTAACCACGATGACCTGACTCCACCACCCAGATATTACTAGCCTCTTTGGGAGATAGAGGATATATATTTAGAAGAGGACTCTAATGACCTAGTCAGGTTAGAAAGAGGTGATGCTTAGAGTACCACAAGACCTTAGCCTAGCCATATCCTAATGAGGCAGGTCCCAGTGCCATTAGGGCAGTACCTATCCGAACTGTGAAGCCAGAATAGATCAAGGCTAAGGACCTACTAATTAAGAAGAGACCCTTACTGATAAAGAAAGAATTTAGAGACTATGATAGCATCCTAAGGGAGCTACAAGATCTGGGAAGGCATATAGACCAGACCCAGAATCAATATGGTATTACCTATTTGAATTTTCTCCTTTATGTGAGGTTATTGTACAATGAAGTAATTGAGGAGAATCCAAACACTGATGATAGTCTTTGGAGTCAAGCACTGATGGAGATTTTACCAAGAACCTGAGTTTGGCAGGAGGAGATTCAGAGGATTTGTGGATGCTCCATGTCCCGTACCTTCCATGAATTGCTAGATGACTTAGAGCTCTTTGTTGTCAGTACTTTTCCTTTTTTTGCTTCTATGCCGTAAACGCAGGATGAATGTATATTATACTAACTGTGGTGGGCTGTGACCCTATATTTTGTTAACTGTGCCATATATATAAACTGAAAAGTAATACAAATATCATTTATGTAAATTAATAATTCTGTTCCTCTTATAGTTGAGATGAAAACACCAAAATAGTAAGGTAAAGGTGAGGATCAAGAGGTAGGAGACCTGGTACAAGGCGAGAGTCATCAAGACCCCTTGTTAACCCGATTGAATGGATAATGGAAAGATTAGAGGAACAGCAAAGGAATATGGCTGAGATACACGCCACACAAGTTAGACAAGAACAAGAGAGGGATGCTGCTATAGCTATAGCGATAGCGGCAGTACTAGCACGGTTATAGTAACTCGGGCAAGGAATAGCTGGGACAGCCCAGTCTATACCACCACAGCAACCATAGGAGCCTGCTCCTGTGAGACCTCAACCTGCTACAGAACCTGATGCATTGTAGCAGTGGATTATTAAGTTCGATAAACACAACCCTCCTACTTTTGAGGGAACCTTTGATATGCAAATAGCCGAGGACTGGATAACCCAGCTAGAAAAGATTTTTAACATCCTGAAGTGTCTATCTGAGAGGAAGGCTCAGATGGCAATATACAAGCTGGAAGGGGAGGCAAATAGATGGTGGAAGAACACCGAGCTGGTCCTTCAGGCCAACAACACCCTGATCAACTGGGAGGTATTCAAGGACCAATTCTTCTTGAAATATTTTCCCCGATCTGTAAGGGATGAGAAAGAAACAGAGTTACTTACTATAAGACAAGCAGCAAATGAACCCTTCGATGAGTACCTAGCGAGGTATATCAAGTTGTCTAGATACTCTACTTACCCCCAGCGTATGAATGATGAGTGTTGGTTAATAGAGAAAATGATCAGGCGGTTGAAGCCTGAGTTGAGAGAGAAGGTAGCCCTAAGATAGCTGGAAGATTTCAACAAGGCAGTGAAAGTCTGTCGTATCACTGAGAATAGCCAGAATCATACTGAGCTAGCTAGAGTAACCCCACGAGTTGAGAAGCTAGGGGCAAGAGCAGGTCAGGAAGGTACTTCTTTCGGTAGTAGCAAGAAGAAAAAGAGATTTAACTGGAGCAAGAAGTTGAGGCGAGGAGCCTGATGAGGGGGCATAAAGAATGTCTATCGGGGAGTGGAGAATGTTTACCAAGGAAGGGAATGCGAGTGATGTGGCTATAAGCACGGAGACAAGCTATGCATAATGGGTCAGAGCGTGTCCTTTTGGTGTGGATGACTCGAACACTTTGCTAGGGAGTTCCTATAAGGTGTCGACAGCACAAGAAGACCTCAAACACAGGGCAGGGTATTCATCCTCAGTCAGGAAGAGGCTCGTAAGTCACCCGAGATGATCCAAGGTACAGTTACTGTGAATGGCTACCTTGTGAATGCTTTGTTTGACTCGGGTGCTAGCCACTCGTTTATATCATATGATTACGCTAGGCGCTTAGGTCTTGCTGTCGACATATTGCTGTATGATTTGTGTGTTTCCACTCTAATGGGAATGAAAATTTTAACTTTTGCTGTTTGTTTAAACTGCATTGTCTGGTATGCCTACTTTTGTACTACGTTAGACCTAATATGCATGCCTTTCTGTGATATTAATGTTATCCTTGGTTTGAATTGATTGTCCTCCCAAAATGTTTTCCTTGACTATAAAAACAAAACATTGATCTTTCCTACCTGAGAGTTAACCCTGATAGCAGAAGTAAAGTTAAATATGATTTTAGCAGCTCAAGCAGATAAATGGTTAAGGCAGGGTTGCTAGGGGTATATGGTATTTTTCTCAGTGAAGCCAAAAACGGAGGAAGGGATTGTTGATATCTCGATAATTCAAGAATTCTCTAAAGTGTTTCCAACAGAAATCAGTATACTACCTCCAAAAAGAGAAATTGAGTTTACTATTGATCTAATACCTGAGACAATCCAATCTCAAAAGCTCCGTATCAAATGGTGCCAAACAAAATGGTAAAATTGAAAAAGCAATTAGAAGAGCTATTGGAGAAAGGGTTCATACACCCTAATGTATCACCATGGGGTGCACCTGTCACGCCTTACTATCGGATACACTTAGGGTTTAATTAAAATCATTTTGGACCATATTGGATGGTCTTGCGCTTAATTTTATCACAAAAACGCTGATTTTTGGATTTTTACTGTTTATCAGGTAAAAATCCAGTTTTCTGGCATAATTTCAAAAATTCATAACTTAATCTAGAAAAATAAAAATGGAGTGGTTCAAGATTCTATAAAAAGCTCTTTGAATACTCTTTCAGGAAAAATAATCTTGTGAACAATTCCATTTACAAAAGTGTCAAGTTTTTGTGAAAGTAACCTCTGTCTTTTTGGTAAAAACTCTTTTTTCATATTTTGGACCTTAACTTTGAAAAATCATTAAAAATCATATAGTTGGTCATTTTTAACATGCTGCATATTGATTTGAAGCTCATGACGTGAACTTTAACCATATAAAATTTCATGAAGAAATTCATTCAGGAACTTAATAAAATATGGCTCTAATTTAGCGTCCTGCTTAGGGATTACAGCACCAACCATACATGCTTATACATAACCAAATATAAATGTTTCCTCATGGTTCATCAGCACATTTATCCTTGGATTTCTAGCCTCCCTTTTGATGATTCAGTCCCTAAAATATTAGGTTACATATGGGGGATGAGATTTTAATGAAATCGCAGTAGCAAGATCAATCAACCAAAACATTAACATGCATCAACTACAATTATTCCAACCTTTTGATATTAGTAGGGAATTATTTTACCTCATATATGTAGCACTCTAATATGCAATAGCCAAGGCACATAAACATAAAGCAAGGAGTATAGCTACACAATCATCATCATCATCATTTAGCTCAACCACATAATAGCACATGAAATTGCCTAGCAATCAATATAACACTCAACATTAAGGTTCATTAAATCTTACTACCTTAATCCAAATGCTCTTGATTCTTTGACCTTCTTCCTCTTCTCCACAATTAACAAACCCTAATCATGATATATCACAAAAAGGGCAGCAAGGTTACTAATTATTCTATATAAAATTAACAACATAAATCAGGTAACTCCTAAACCCTTTAAAGCTTCCATCTTTGTTCTTAGAATTTTTAGACTTTATTCCCTTAACCCTAAAAATTCCGTCTTGGCTCATTCCTACATTATTTTTCATGTAGATTCTAAATATCTACTTGGATTTAAGAAAATAAAACTCCCTCTTCTAGTTTTAGCTTGGGCGAACCATTATGGTTCATTTTTTAAAACTTACAACTTTAGCTTTAATGCTTCCAACCTTTGTTCTTTAGGTTTATCCTACACCATTTTTCCATTTTGAGCACAATGGAAGCATCAAAACATTGAAAAACTCATCATAGGGTCTAATTCTTACTTTGGTCGAAATGGTCCTCATGCAACACAAGAAAAAAAAACACTTCAAAATCAACCTACAACCACTTGTGACCACCAGGATCTATCATGCTTTGAAGTGTTCTAGCAAGTTGGACCAACAAAACTTCTTTCCCTACCATATATACATTTCAGCTAGCACAAGAAAAAGGGAGAAACCATAAATTTCTAGCCATGCAACTCAAGTAAACAAAGCAAGGCACAACTTAGGACCAAAAACTAACCTTAATCCTTGCTTGGATGATCAAAGATGATGGCTTTCTCCTTGATTCCACGTGAAACACTCTCCTTTCTCTCTTGTTTCTTCCTTGGCCAAATTAGCAATCTGATTTAGGGGGAGGAAGAGCTCAATTAATGCACCAAATATCCCAACCACCATCATAAATGAAAAGCCAAGTGTCACCTTCCTACTTAGTCTTGAAACTTCTCTCATAATTAAGTAAATCATAATGTAATTAAATTCCAAAGTCAAGATCCTCTTCACTTAATGCTTGACACTTGAAAAGCTTTAATTACTCTTTGATAGAGGCTTGACAAGTGGCAACTTCTGGGCCAAGTAAAGTGCAAGACTCTAGTCTTTACTTTATCGGTGCACTTTTATTCCGAGTTTAATTTCTTTTTTATAATTACAGTATTATGGCCTCTGTAATTATTTTTTGTAAGATCCATAATTTATTCTTCTCATTTTTATCTTCCCAAATTTCTCTCTGTCTCATAATTAATTTCTCAATAATTAACTAAGAAGGAAAACTAATTTCCTTCTCTTTATTGATTTTTTCACTTTTCAAAGGAATTAGGAAAAATCTTGGATACTTGAGGGTCTTCTTTTAATTTCATAATCTCTTATAATTTCTTGGGGTATCATAGGAATTTTCTTGGAATTTTATTCTTCTTAAAAATATTTATTTGGAATTTTTCAAGTAAAAGCCTTTAAATTAGGCTAAATTTCCTTTAAATTCCTTTGTAATTTCTCTAAGCGTAATTTGGTCATAAAACCAATTTTATAATCCCATATAATTCTCAAAGGATATTATCCTTATTTTTTTCCTTAATTTTCCAAGATTTCGAAATATTTTTCCCATAATTATTTTTTGACCAATTTTTCTTAATTAGCCAAATTTTCATAATTGGCTTGGAAAATCATAATAATTATTTTCCACCGTAAATCTTCTATTTCTTCTTATCCTTTTTGGATTTTGAATATTTAGGAATATCCTTATTCCTAGTTGTCATATTACTGAACGTGACATTTCGTCCCCCTAAATAAATTTCATCCTTAAAATTTAAAGCGTATCTTATCGGAGAAGTTCAGGATACTTTTCCTTTATCTCAGTCTCCATCTCCTATGTAACTTCTTCCAATGTAAGACCTTTCCAAACAACCTCAACCAGCAAAATCTGCATGTTTGACCTTTTAATCAATGATTCGCTCTAGTTTGACCTTAAAAGACGAGTTATCTTGGAGCACAATGTCATTATTGTTTATGACATATGTTAGGTCTAGATGGTACTTCTTTCATTGGGAGATATGGAAGACATCATGAATTTGACTTAAATTCAAGGGAAGGGTTACTTATAAGCTACTGGTCCAACCTTGGACAAAATTTGAAACGATCCAGCGTACTTCAGACTCAATTTCTTAATCTTTACGGATTGACTAACTTCTGTCATTGGTGACACTTTGAGGGAAAACATGGTCCTTAATCTCAAATCTAACGGTCTCCTTCTAGTATTTGCGCTATTCTTTTGCCTACTTTAAACTGTTAGGAGTCTTTACTAAATAGCTTTAATCTGTTGGGACATCTGATCCATTATAACAGGACCCTATATACTTCTTTCACTAAGCTCTGTCCCAGCATAAGAGAGGTCTACAATTCCTACCATAGAGTGCTTCGTATGGTACCATTCAAATACTTGTATGGAAACAGTTATCTGAAGCGAATTTGGCTTACGGTAAGTATGTATCCTAGTTACCGCTGAAATCAAGCACATATGCGTGTAGCATATCTTCTAACATCTGTATCGTTTTCTCTATCTGCCCATCTATCTGTGGATGGTAAGTTGTACTGAATTTTAGAATAGTGTCCATTTCTTTCAGTGAGGACCTTCCAAAACTGTGAGTAAATTTCAAATCTTGGTCCAAAACAATACTGCTTGGGACACTAAGTAGCTTAATGGCTTCCTTAACTTTATCTTCCATTTTCACTAGATTTAGTGCATTCTTGCCAAAATAGCTAACATTTATGGCTTTTACACTTTCTCACATTACTTCCCAGGGTCACCCTTCCTTGGGCTACTATTGCCTGACACGCTTAAATAAACAGTGCTGATGGGAAACTGAGGCACTGATTCTGATAGGCTTAAACCTTGGTACTTTATTGTCTTAGACTCCTCTTGATCTATCTTTAGTTGGGTTTTTTCAGCTTACATTCTTGACTCTAGCCCCATCTTATGGATCTGCTCGTCAATACTCAGTCTATCTTTGTATG